CTGTGGATGACGCGGTACAAAGAGCAAACGTTCCAGGGCGGGTTAAGTCGGGGCGAGGGCAGGTCGTTTAACCGGGTCTGAATGCCTTGGTGACTTTGAAGTTCGAAATCCAGGGAGTACGTAGGCGGAGGCAATGGTTACGGAACCGTACCTTGACACAGTTGCGCCTCGACCTCTGACACGTGTCTTCGATCATCGTTCGGGATCCTCGTGGGGGTTGTGTCTTTGGCGCCGAAAGCACAAATGCGACTGAAGGAATTTAATTAAACCCTTCTGCATCGTTGAGTCACTCTTTCTTGATTTGTACCTGCATGGGCGTAGCCAGGTTATTAATGAGGGAGAGCAAAAATATTAATAGATTGACTGCCACAGTGAAAAAGGCTGTACGTAGTCAGGCACACTTTATTTTGTTTCTAAAGTAATTGGGGGGGGGAGGGGGGACAAAATCAAATTTTTTTCTTCTAGAGTGGGGCAAAAGTTTCTTTTTTTCGTCCAGAGGGCAAGTGCCACGCCTAATTACCATTCCCTTTTATTTTCCTCGTCTCTGTGCTCGGTGAACTTACGCGTAGTTTCTCGAGAAGAATCGCGAGAACGATCGTGTTCGTTCGTTACCAGTCATATGCGTCTGCTTCGTGATGAAAGGAAACCGAGAGGTGTGCAAAAGGAGCGCGGTCCCCTTTGTTTCGTGATTGCTTTAATATGTATGAGTGTTGCTTTCAGGCAGCTCTTGTACGTTTCTTCCTTTTAATGTCGGGTATTGTTCAGTGAACGGTGCTTGGTCGGATGAAAGGGCGACTGAAGTGGCGACTGAAGTGGCGATACCAGTTCGTTTCTTCAGAAATCAGGGGTAATTTGTGTTTAGGGAAATTGTGCCGACGGGGATGCTTATATGTTACATTTTTTAGAGTAGAATTTCTCGAGTATTAATGGATTTCATCCACGTTTGTAGATAATTGCGTGTCTACCATTTTCATGGGAGGAAACGCGATTCATCGATTATTAGAATTTAAGAGGAACCCGAGTCCATCGTTAAACTCCCATTAGGTTTAGTCCGTGTTCGCGGGAGGCGCAAGTCATTCCGGTAAACGTTCGCAGTCCATTAAATCAACGTAAATCAATGAATGTCTGTTCCCTGTCGTTATATCACGTTTAGTGAGATCTCATTTTTCAGCGGATAATTTAAACGACAAGCGCTTTTACAGTCCAGGAAGACAGTGTCGTTAAAAAGATAAATAGGGTATTAAAATTATTTAGCTGTACGAATTAATGTGAATTCAGGTTTTCCTAGAGACATACCGTCACATTCCTTAACAATATTCCTAAGTGTTATTGAAGTGTAGTACTCCTAACCTAAAAATTTCGTTATTCTTGATTTCCATTTTACTTTGGCCCGTAGAATCCACCGAATAAAACTGTCTCACATTTTCCTCAACACCTTGTATATATCAAAGATATAAAATTCAAACAAAATCACGATCCAGGCCATCGTGAATCGCTCGAACCTCGATGGTTATTTCCCGCGCGAAACCGTCGACAAACCGTGATCGCAATGAACAATTTGGGCCGTCTAATAATAGCAGCATCGGTGTCGACGAATTTGGTAAGATAAACAGTCGTCAGCTCGCATCTTTATCGTCGCAATAATCGGCGGCCCGAGTGGCCACCACGTCGAAATTATTCACGGTTCCGTGGCACGAGGACGCCGCCATTTTGTGGCGAGCCGAGGGCAGCGTCGCGAGCGGAACCGGTACGTATCGGTTCTTGCGGGCAGAAAATTGGTGCAACCTTCCGTGGGAAGATATGACCACAGAGAACGTTAAATTTCACTGGATATGCAAAATTGCACCACGGTTGGTCCCGATGAATTCCGCGAGGAGAACAGGATTACGACGCGGACAGGCGGAATTTCAACGAGAAACTGAATCGCCGCGATTTGAAATCATGGTGAACGCTTTCACTTGCTGGTAAACATTTGTAAAATCGTTCTAAAAGATGTAATTCGACGAGAAAACACATACTTTTCGACTTTGACACGATATTATGTGCACCAATGGGTAATCCACTATTTTTTAAACGAATTTGTAACATAACCTAGTTAGGATCCAATATTGCGGTAAGGTAACATTTCACTCGCAACTTTGTTTTCCAGGGAATTTACATTATTGAATTCTGTTTTGTATGTTATAGTTACTAAAGAGGATTTCAAAGATTTGTTTAATATTTTGTTCATTGTTATCTCTTGTTTAGATCCTTTTAGATCCTATGACGTTTTACAATTTGACTTTTTTACTTTTTTATACATTTTTTAAAATAATAAATAATTATGTGCATCGCCATATTTTACTGGTTGGGACTTAATGGGTTAAAAATGTTAGATAACGAGAAGAAATGTTATTGAAACAGTGATGGATTTTGATCTTCCGTAGAACAAATATTAAATTTTATAACATCTTGGGTTATTTATTGGTACGCCTAATATAGTTAGTGTGAACGAGCTGTGCAAGAAAATAACGAAGAAAAGAAAGAACCTCGTGTTTCAGAAAGAAAATTAGGTGATAGCAGAAAGACAAATTTAGGTCACGAAAATTCTTGTTACAAGAAGAGAAGGTTCCCTGATTTCAAGGTTTTGTTTGTTGTTCGAAAGAATTTAAGTGTCTACAGTGTGTCAGTTGGTTAATAATGATTGTAACCAACTTTAAATCGATGTAAAAACAGTAACATCTGCATTTCTAATTCGAGGTCCTCTCCCTGGAACGTATCCGAAAGAATTTGAACATCGACGTGCCCCGCGATGTTTGCCTGCCCGTGCTCCAGTTTCGGCTGTTACTTATTGGGACGTGACAACGGTAGTAGGAAGCTCATGAGATTTTATACTCCGCAAAGGATGTTTATGTGTGCATGCGCGGAGGGACAAAGTGACCCAGTTTCGGAACAGTCTTTTAACGCAATCTGAGGAGTAGATCCGAAACGATGATCACCTATGGATAAAAACGGCTTACAGCTAAAGCTGGTGCCTCGCTGACGGAATTATATTATCAACCCGTTGCAGTCGCATAAAACTAGTTATTTACTCGCTGGAACGTAAAACGAGTGACTTATTTAAGGGGTTAGTTCACGTTGACTGATTGAAAGTCATAGTTTCACTTAAAACAAAAAACAGGAATTTTTCATTTTCTAGAAGAAATTTAATTGAAAAGGTGGTTTACAGAAGTGGCACCAGCACCGTCGTTTTGTATAAAAGAAAATATTTCTGTACATTTAAATATGTATATATTACAGGCTTCGCAATTGATTTCCAGTTTATTTTAGAATATACCTAAAGAAAATTTACAAAGGTACCTATGATTTCTAAACGGTCAAGGTTGACTAATCCCTTAACATTATCTCTTAATAATTTTTCTCGAAATACAATTCCTCAAGAGAACGTCGTGCATCGAAGTTCTTCGATAGAATATAATATTGCCCCGTTTAACGTCACAATGTTCAATTAATTGCCGTTTACGCTTCTCGAGGGCCCTCTCTCTCTTCGAGGACTCCACTTCAATCCCATTCTGAATTAATTGCAACGTTACGGTTCACGGAAACGCGAGAATGCTGCAAATGATTTTAATTTATCGGCCGATTGCCTCGTTCTTTGTCCACGCAAATCAGCCATGTAATCAGCGCGTTACCTGCGCCTCGTAATGGCAGAAAACCGTCGATAATTGGTCGTTCACTCGAAACACGAAACAACGGTCTGCAGCAATGCGCGATCGACAGCCATTCGTGTAAGACAACCGTGGGCCATGGGATCCGATTTTGTTGTTCGGCTTCTCTTCTCTCGTTCGATTTCTCGGTCGACTAGGGATGAACTGATCCAAGTAGATGCAGTAAATAATCGATGTTTTCGTTTCGATACCGAATATTTTTAGTTTCGATACTTTCGATTTACAACCGTTACGATATCATAGGATCGGCATCTAAAAGACGAAATATTCGAAGTTGATCACGATCGAACGCGATCTTCGACATGTCAATCGACATTTTAAGTCGTGGAACACTGCAGACGTGTCGATCGAGACGCAAAACGTGATATACAGGATGCAGATCTCGAGAAATGTAAATACCGATACATTAGCATAAAGAAATATCCGAGTGAAGGAGCTTGGCAAGGGGAAAATTTTCTTTCTCCTTATCCGTACTCCACTTTTGGCCAACTTCCTGACAGTGGTAATGGATGGTCTGTGTCAGACGCAAAATTCAATTCTCTATGGTAACTACCGGTAATATCTGTGAAAGCTAGCGGCGAAAGGTACTTGGAACCGGGCCGAATTTGCGGATTTCGAACATTCTTGTAATGGAACCGCCAGCGCGTCGATAAGTTCGCAGATTTCGTTATGAAACTTTTCGACGATATTTACGCAAAACTTACAATTTTAATAGTCCTATGCGGTATAACGATCATGATTATGAACCATTAATTAATACATTCAGTATGACTTCTTTAGCTTATCGCTGAGTTGTCAATGATCTTTCTCTTATACTGAAGATTATTAATGGTCAGATCTCAAGTCCTCAATTGCTGCAGCTTGTTCACTTTTATGCTCCTTCAAGATGTGTTAGAAAGGGACATAAATTCTCTTTTACGATAACTTCCTTACCCGTATACTATGTAGTTCTCCCTGTTTCTATTTTTATTTCGAGTTAATCGTTATGTATGTAAGAATAATAGTATAGATTAATAAAATAGAAATTAATCGGATCCTAGAAGGATTTACTGTATCACATTCGACAAAATACGGTGAATTATTACATCGATACACCTAACATCTCATAAATTTCAATTCAATCACATTCACAACAATTCTTCACATCCTGTTTTCATTTTACACTCGAGTAGGTTCTCGTAAAATTTTTATTTCCATTTTTAAACGTTCTGGCTTTGCGTAACGCCCCTAAAATGAGACCAAGACGAGATTCTCTGCCACATTAATTTTTTTCTTATTTTCTTCTGTTCGCAGCCACGGAGGAGCTCGGTAGCAGCATGAGCACCACCCTGCCGTCCGCTCCCACCGAACTATCGCAGTACCCGAAGCTCTGCGATCTGCGCCGAAAGTTTCCTGTTCTGTACCGCGTCGAGTTTCAGGTGAGGACAATAGAAATCCCCCCTTTCTTCCCCCTCTGTCTCTGTGTTCACCGACTCGAAGCCGTGGATCTCAGACGACCCATTGATTCGACGTTTTCGAGGTTTGTTTCCACGCTCTCTCCTCTTAACTCCGCCGAGAGGCTGCGGTGGTTGGCGAGCCACGAAAGATTCCACGGAGGTTCTCGGTGGCGAACGATTCCTCTTCAACCGAGCAGAAATGAAAGGGTTGAATTTAGATAGCGAAATTAGAGATCGCGTTCGGATCGAATGGTGATTTCTCGGTGAACTGGTAGCGCAAATTAACTGGAAACGAAACGAGTCTCGGTAGATTTTCTTAACCCTTCAACGCCCAGACTTCTAAATTGTTATTTGAAAATCATGAGACTGATATACGTATATGGTGCATCTTGTTATTTTGAAGTAAAAAGTACCGATATTAGTAAGACCTCTGGTACAGAATTTAGAATGATACTCCATTTTAATTTTCAGATATCAGTATCTAAAATGACGGTTTTACGGAAACTTTCGGTTCTTTTGGCTCTGCAGATTGTTAAGTTGATTTTTACGCTAAAAGGTTATTTGAAAATTACAATTTTCTGACTTCGGGACAAATTTACCTCTGACCGAGTCAAAGCTACCCCAACTTACGGTACGAAATTTCAGAGAATTTAACTGGAATTCAGTACGTTTAGTAAACTTTTAACGTACCTATATTTATCGTAACAGATTGTACTTTAAATATTTCCCTGTAATATTGGATTAATCCAATTTTCAAGGAAAAAATTACACCTACAATGTATGTAGTTGACACTTTAATTTCTAATCAATCAATATATGTCCAGTAACAATTAATCGGTCGAATATAATATCCTAGTCAATTTGGAATTGGAATATTTAGAATAATTTCTTTTCATTTGGATAATCGAAATATCTAAGTACGTATTTCGAAACGGATTTTACTTAATTATTCGACGGAAGACGTATCGGTGCCGCGTCTACGTTAAATTAGAGCGTACAGAGGAGCAATTTCCAGTTACGTACCCAGCGAGGATGTCGCGTGTGCATCCAGTACCCGTACAAACTGTCCCCAAGATAGGCAGACAGCCAAGACAGGTCCAAGAGACATCCGGGAGACAAAGCGATCTCCCGAGAATAGGCGGGAGGAATCGAGTAACTCGGCTCAATATCGGTTTCTCATTAGACTGGCATTTTGGTGCACGTATTCCCAGGCCAGACACGACGGCACGGAGTATCATTCGATGTTCGGCAAACCGGCGAACGGTGCCGTTTTTCAGGAAAAAGAATTCCGTTCCGTAAAATTGAACGGCTCTCGTGCCACGCGATTTCCCGCAAAACAGCCGTTCGTTTGTTATTATCGGATTCCAGATCGAAAAATGAATGGCAGACGGTGACGCCACTTCGGTTTGATATTCTGTTCGGAATGGGAACGTTTACCATATTACAGGGTATTTTTCGATACAGGCATGTGTAGTCTAATAACAATCATGTTTATATTGACGAAACGTCTACAGGCTTTCGTTGAGATTCAGGGCGGCCATTTTGAATATATCTTTGAGAAGGTTAGAGGATCAGTTTGTGGGATACAAGACTTATTATTGACCGAAAACAAGACGGAGGAAGACGTTCGATCTTCTTTTACTGTTTTAAGTATTAGATCGTAAAGTTCCATATGTTACGTGCATCATTAACCCATTAATTGTTTATTACGAGTGAGACTCTGGCCCGATGAACTTATACACGACGTAATTATTAAAAAGATACGTGTAAAACATGTTTTTTTTTTACATATTTTATTATAGATAGAAGTAGTTTTGTTTTATTGTAATAAAAAATATATATAATACATTAAATTATTATTATTACATATTGAAATATATATTTTCTTTACCACACGTCGTAATTTTATTCGACTTGGGTTAAAGTTCCAGAGTTTTATACGCAATATAAACGCATAATATCTGCAGTCTATTAATCATAAACAAATTTGTTAAATGGAAACAAGAAAAAAGGAACGTAAACTTCTTGATCGAACAGTCATTCGCAGGTCGTTTAACTCCGTGTCGACAATATACACGATGGGATGTCAAAGGCCAATAAACGGCGAGCCAGTTATCGGTTACAGTCCAATCAGCGAAATGACGACGATATGTATCAACGTATACGCGACACGCAGTCGGTAAAACAGAACTGGTGGTAATAAAGTCTCGAACGTCGCGAAACGAGACCATCCTAATGAGTTTTCCAGCTGGTGACGCGTACATTACAAATTTCACTGTCGATGATTCTTCCCTGCCCTCGAGTTGATAAGGAAATTTCACAGGACACGTCGAAATGCAACATTGTTGCGTTCCATTATGGCCGAAATCAAATCAACGACGACGCGATCCGGTTGATTCTGCAAACGGAAATAGGTCAGCGAGAGATGTTTGCTATCGGTGGCCTGGCAAATTTAATGATTACTCGTGCCGATGGCGACGAGTGGCCCGCCAGGCGTGATTGATAGAAATTAAACGACGCAGCCCGACTCGACGTTTGACGTTCGACTGTGAACGCCTGTACCGCGACACGTTGATTGATCGTGATTCGACTGGTTTTGAATCTAATTGATGAAGTATCGTAGAGTTTTCGTTTGTTTTTTTTTTACTACATATGTACTGGTTTCCACAGCATTAGTTTCTTCTTCGTGGTCACAGGTATTTCAATTGAGACGGATTGCAGGTGCTATCGTCGAGGGTTGTCGAGTTATCTACTTGGTTTTGTTAATTCTTTAAATCCCAGTTAAAAATTTTTTCATCGGAGCTTAGTAAAACCTACTTCACCCAAACAAGACTTATACTGAAACTTATTCTCTTCGTTAAAGGTTCCATTACGTTCACGGTGAAATAACTCGATGAAAGTGCGCTGAAGTTTAATCGAATCTAATGAAGTCTCGAGGGGAGAGGTACTAAGTTTCCTTTTGGTTTCTGCCCTTGTATATGAATGTATTAAAATGTATGAAATTGTACCTGTTACCCAACAGTGGTACAACCGGAAAAGAAGTGATTCTACGTGTAAAAATAAGTCGAATATGTAAAATAAAATTTGTTCGTATGATGCTTCCTTTCCAAGATAATCAATTTCGAAAATTCATCGACGCACAAGCTACTATACCAACAAATATGAAATTTTGGGGATAGCTTCTCCTTAGGACGTAGGTATCCCCTAACTTTTAGTTCATTACCACTTATTAGCTCTTTTATTTCTTCACGAGGATTTAAATGAAGTTAACTAGGGATTTCTAATAATTGTAAGAATAAACGTTTATTGGATTGTTAATCAAAATTAACTGCAGTAATTTGCTAGTTTTATTCCATATTTTTTACTTACTTTTTCATGGTGAATTACATCCTTCCAGGTTGTACTACCAATTCCAAAACACTTTGTATAAACATATGTACAATCAATTGATCTACAAGAATAGATATATCGAAAGATTAGGTCATCTAAGCCGAACAAATCCTTCATAATTAACCAAAATGAACATGAAAAAGCTCTTAGTGTTACGAGATTCGCGGTATACAAGGAGTGTTTAGTCGCCTGTGGATAATCCCTGTTTTTCTTGTTCTGCCTGTTACCACTCACAGTTCCTCTGACATCTCTAATCGTACCCGAAACGTGTTTTGCTGCTTTTCCCCACATTGCTCGGATTTTCACGTTGCATTCTACGTAGTCTTTCAGTTAAATTTATAACACATAATTTGTCACGATCCAGAAATACAGAAATACTTCAATATGTTATATTTTATGTCAATAGATTATATTTCAAAATTCTAATTAATGATAGCTATACTGTAAATACTAGATACGTCTTTCCCGTTTCTCGATGGCGTGTCACGAACCTTCACACGTACGTTTCACAGGCAATCAGGCAACGAGAGCTTTCGTGCACGTCTGATCGGAGCGCGTGCGTTTCAAGTCCTTTGCTCCGATTCGTTAATAATCGAGGGAGTTTAACTTGAAGTTTTGGTTCCCAGTAACACTGAACTTTGTTACGTAGAGCGGATCAGGGAATTTGTACGAACGTTTCCGTTTCGATGAATGGGTAAGTGAAATTATGGAGAAGAGTGTGTGCACTCCCTTCATTTGGGGTGCTTGATTTCCTGTCGGAATATTTGATATTGAAATAGGTAGGAAATTTTTTTATTTTAGTATATATTCAACGAACTTATCTAAAATGAGATTATTTTATTAAGAATAAATACATTTGTTGGTTCATAATCCGAAAATGTTGAATCACGTATGTTTTCTGTTACCATAATTCGTTGACACTCGTTTCTGTTATTTGCAGATAGCGACCAAGGTAGAAACACACGCATGCAGACACGCCACGAAGCCAGCCAACAAAGAGAAGAATCAAAACCAGAGATGTATTCCATGTATGTAAACATATACCGCCATTTTTACGTATCTGTGGAACACATGATTGCTCAAAACACAGTTGAATAACGTGTCCAATTCGGTACAATTTCTATATTATTATTAATCTAATGGTGCTCTGAAGACTTGTAAACGTCAATACAATCATAAGACAAGGTCCAGATAGCACACGACGTCTTGAAGACGGTTTAAAGGCGTCTAAGACCTAAAATAGCCGTAAAATGGACATTTTCAAGGCGTCATATACTATCTGGGGGGTTAAGAACACCAACACCACGTAATATGGATTGTTTCTTCGCATTCGAATGATTGTAATTTCGGAAACGATGGAAGTTACGAATAATATTACCGAGTTAGACTGCACAACGACGACAGCCAGTGCTACGTAGCCGTTTTAATTATTCATAGGCCGAAAATAAAAAAGAAATTCCGGCCGGACAACCGGTCTAATTAGAAAACGCGGTTATGTTCGCGCGCATAACCGTAACAGGAGCGTGACGGAAGACTTTTCACGGTGAAAAGGTGCGGTTGACACGGACGTTTGCCTTTTTCCACACACAGACACGTGGCCCAACCTGGATGAAAATCACGTTTGCACGGCGTTGATACGGCTGCCTTCTTTCACGGCGAGTGTGTCCGTGCAAACACTCGACCACCATCCGTGGGAATTCTTGCCCTCCCTCTGTAATTAATCCGAAACGTTCCACTTGTCGCATTTCGGAGGTCGCGTGGTCACAATTAAACGATTTCATTTCTCACGCTGCGCATTGGTTGAACGGGCGTTTTATATAGGAGGGTAATATTATATTTTAATAGAATTTAAATTCTCGCACGAGGTCCAAATGGCCAGTGGAATTCACCCCATTGTAATCCAGATAACATTGTGCATACACATATATTGCACAACGGTCGATATCCGGCATTCTGGGTGAAATTCTCACGCGTAAATGACCGCAGAGCGTAACGAATACTGTAACTCGTTAGATTTTGTGTGTGGTTCTGTGGGAATTCTGTTGAGAAACTTGCGTAGTCTGGTGTTCTCAGTCTGTAGTACCGCATTATGGACCTCCTTATCGTTAAATGATTTGTAGAATTCAGCAGACCTGGGCACTTTTGAAATATTACTTCAAATAAAATGTTATTTTATTTTCTAATCATTTGAAATAATTTGTAGAAATAATTGTGTGATTCTTTGAAATATTATTTCAAATAAAATTTTCTCAGGTCTGGTAGACAGTAGAGACTTTATTTTTTGGGTTTTGCAATGGCGAGGGAAGGAGAAATAGGTGCGACGTGAATTATTATTATTAATTAGTATTGCCAATCCCAATTCGTATGATTGTAGAGAGGTAACACACTGTACAACAACAGCAGTTACTGTTTCAATAAAATATTTAATGTTCTTCGTTATACTAGCCAACCTGACACCCTGTGCAAATAAAAAATTATATATCGTGTATTGTTACTAACATTTCTTTCTGTTTCAATGCAGATGATTACAACAGGGTGGTGCTGGACACGATAGAAGGCGAGCCCGATTCCGATTACGTCAACGCGTCTTACGTGGACGTGAGTACTGAACTAACTCACGTTATATTTATATACATTCTCGTTGGCTTGCCACGCGAAACAAAAATAAAGTTCGCTGCGAGATTCTGGAATCGACGGACACGCGAACGAGATCGGACGCGACATCCGTCCCTGCTCCGAAAATAAACTAATACGAAATTCCATCGGAACGATACGGAGGATCAAGATCAAGGTTGGAGCGGTAATATCGTCCCCGTCGAGCATGAAATTGTTGTGGCGGACGGTATTTGAATAATCCATAATCACTGTTTCACCGAAATAGAATCGCGAGAACCGGGCGGCGTTAAAAAATTTCAGGTTAACGTTGTGTGCCACCCACGGTTTGCAATCAATGCCGGATGTTTCTGTGTTCCAGAGTATATTGAAGCCGAACGCGTACATAGTCACGCAGGGACCGACCGAAAACACCGTGACGGAATTCTGGCGGATGGTCTGGCAAGAGAGAGCCTGCTGTATCGTTATGCTCACGAAAACATTCGACTTCATTAGGGTGAGAAATTTTTTATCTTGTTAATTTTGGAACGATATGAATTGGCCTTTTAAAGTCACTTTCCTACGAGACATCTTTTAGTATTAAAGAGTTATTTAAAGGACGAGGACATGATAGAGAATAGACAATTTACTGGTGATCTTCAACTTTATTGTCTATGAATTTATGACTTGCATTGATTATGCATTAGAGATCGCAGATGTTCACTTGCTAGAATGCGTTTCATCTGTCTGGAACGCGTGTAAAGTATTTCCTTGCAGATATTCGTGTCTGTCAAGCGATAACGAGCGTCGGTTGGAACGATTACAGGTGATGTGCGTCCAATATTGGCCGGCCAGTAAGGAAAAGGACGAGGAATATGGCGGGATCGGGGTCTCGGTGCTGAAGGAGGAGGAGCTCGCCAATTTCCACATACGGACGATAAAGCTTTACAAGAAAAACGAGAACGACGTGAGTGTACTTTACTCTGCAGCCGCGTTTTCACAGATTCATACGCGACGCGTAGAAAAATTGACGTGCCCGGAAACACATTGTGTCTTGCCCGTCGCGAGGATAGCTCGAGTGCTGCCATAGAAATCGCCGAAAATAAATATTGTTGGTGGGAATTTGAAGAAAACATTGGAACAATTTGGAACCACATAAGTGTTATTGCAAATATTAGGAGAATATGTCTATGAGAATGTCTGTTTCATTGGAATTATTTATCGTTTTTTTCTCTGCATTACTTTTAAAAATCGCTTGAAAATTGCTCCTCCGAGTGGGAATAAACCCTTAAGGCCCTTTCATTGGTCGGTGGCTCGAGTCTGTCGACATGTTTTTATATATAATACACGTTATATATAATACATGGGTACCAGGTCGAATGATCTCCGAGCGGAGTAACGAAATCCCGCTCAGCTGGCAGGAATTCGCGCAAACTCGAAAACTTGCGCCGGAACTGGAAGTAGACTCGTAGCAAGGTTCCAGCAAGACTGGGATTCGGGGACGAAAGAACGGAAGTTTGGTAAAAAGTTGCACGGAATTAACTACAGAAGGGTGGAAAGGGAGGGGACCTAGTCTAGCGATAGTTCGCCACCACCTCGAAAACTGGGTGAACGCGGAACGATACGGGTTGAGAGATAGGGAGCACAGGGTGGGAGGAGGAACGATGAGTTTCCTGGAACGACCGTTACGTAACACTTAATTTTATTAACTCGCCCGGGAATGGAATGAAAACAGGGCACCGAGAACCTTACGATTTCCCCCCGATTGTCTTCAAGGTTTTTTTTTTACTAGTCATCCGGTTCATATTACCTTCTTAACATGGTAATATTGTTCTTAACCGTTTTTATTGTATATTTAAATACAGTGGGAACAGGTAAAAAATTAAAGTACTAAACTGGAGTGGAGAGAATGGTGAACAATTTAATAGGAAAGAAACAGAAAGGATGGAAAGGATATAATGTGAAAGTTATATAGTACTTGAATTGTACTTGTACAAATAGAAAAACAAATTATTACCTTAAATCTGTACAGGAACTGATAAAATCGCTGTTAGTTTACATTTATTCAAATTCTGAACATTAATTCTTGTTATTCGAACGGGTTGATAAGGATGCTATTTTGTGGAACGTATACGCTTCTGTTTCAGTGTTACGAAACATTTTATTATTCAGTTCATTATACGCACTCGTTTCGTACTAATTATACGGTGGCAGTTGGAACATAATATTGAGAAGTTCGCAAGTGCTTCGTATTTAAATAAAATATTTGCAAACTGCGTTATCCAACCGAACAGAAATTTCTCCAGCGTACCTTGAATATTCACTGTGGTTATTAAATATCGTATCGTTAAATTAGTATTTAAATTAAATACTTTCTATATGGTGTAACGGCATAACCGTCGGAATAGTTTTAACGAAAAAAAAAGGGAGAAAAACGTTCCAGAAATACCGTAACGAGTTTATTCGAAGGTGTTACAAAATGCTATAGGCACCATTTTTACGCTCGAGAACGTCGCGAACTTTTCGGACCTAATTCGACACGTATGTTTGTTTTCACATCTTCCCAGTAAACAGAAAAAAACGAACGTTCGTTCGCGGGAATTTCAGGAAGTGACGGAGGAAAGAACGTTGTTGCAATTCCATTACACCGAATGGCATTCCCACACGTGTCCCTTCGGCAACGCGGTTTTGGAGTTTCGCAGGCGTGTCAGGGCGGTCGTTGGCTCGACGATAAAGAACGAATCCGGTCCCATGGTCGTCCACTGCAAGTAAGTTAAAAAAAAAAACCCTTGAAGAAATACCAGCGACTACAAGCTTCATGCGACAATTGAAAAATAATATCTTCTTGGAAAAAAGTGACGGTGGCGGACGATCGGGAGTGTATCTAGCGATAGACGCGAACATGGAGTTGGCCGAGGAGGAGGACGCCTTCGACGTGTTCGGGTACCTGAAGAAGTTGCGCCAAAGTAGAAGAGGACTCATCGAGGACCTGGTGAATTTCGAGATTTGATTGCCTTTAACTAGAGAAATTTAGTTTTTAATTGATCCAAATTATAAGAAATTTATTTTCTAATCAATTCGAATTACAAAAATGTCGATTTTCGAAATGAATCTAACTGGAACCACTAACCCATTCTGTTGCACCCATTAAATTCGAACTTGACGAGTGACTTTCGCGTTTTGTTCAGGAACAGTACAAATTCGTGTACGACACGTTAGAGGAGTTCGTGGTCTGCGGGACCTCGTGGTTCCCGGTGTCGGAATTATCCCAACGTCTCAAGCAGAAGAGCGTAAAAAATCCGATCACCAAGGTGAACGAGTATCAGCGGGAGTATCAGCAAATTTGTAAGCAAACGCCGCGTTTTACGATCGGGGATTGCGCCGGCGGGCATAGGGCCGACAACAGGGAGAAGAACAGGGACGTTCTGGTGGTGCCACGTAAGTTCATCGCGACCAAAACACTTATCAAAATTGTTTGATGAAATGGCCGTTGGCGCCCTCATGGAAAATACATTTCACTAATCTAGGGGTGACTGAAAGATAGGGTCTTCGTAGTATCTTTAAATTGTAGTAACGTGTATAACATAAAAATCTGTACAGTGTTACTGATAATAACCATTTTCATAAAATATAATAATCACGATTTAACACTAGAGTTATGACTGTGATATCCAGTCAATAGAATGTGTAGTATTTTCCAGACATTTTATACAGGATGCGACCGAATAACACGTATAAGCGTGTACGTGGTAATTCCTTATGAAAAATAAGAACAAAATATGGAATAAAATTTTTTCCTTTAAGGCTTAGTTTTCGAGAAAATCGACTTTGAAAATCTGTTAGATGCTGGGGCAATTGAATAAGACTGGGCTAGCGCGTCTGTTCATTGCATTCCGTTTCTACTTACTACTACGGTGAATGCGCGTGTTTCAGATTAATTTTCGAAGTCGATTTTCTCGAAAACTAAGCCTTAAATGAAAAAATTGTATTCCATATTTTGTTCTTATTTTTTCATAAGGAATCATTTCGTATCCATTTGTACATATTATTCGGCCGCATCCTGTATGTATTTATCCATCAACGTTCCACAGCATCTACACTCATGAATACCTGTTTCTTTATCTAGCTGACAATTTCCGACCGTATCTCACCAGTTTCCAGGGTAACAGTTACACTGACTATATAAACGCTGTCTTCGTGGATGTAAGTTTTTCATTTATTATTTCAAACGTTTTCGTCCCCAAAGAAAGCCTTTCGTATTCCGTCATCGGACCTTCCAAGTACAGTAAAGGCTCCATGAGAGTTGGACAGTAAATTCCTCGTGAGAGTTTCTACTTCATCCCCACCACTGAGAGGGAGGAGGCCGTGGAAACTATCAAGAGCATATTTTATCCCCCCCCCTCGCTTTTATTGCCACAGGTTGAGCTTTGGGCAAACAATAGACTTGCATGGTGTTGAAACAATTCACAACCCACCGTGAAAGTTTTGGATCGGTCCCAAGTTTCAAACTCTCATAGAGCCTTTACTGGAATTAGAGAGTCTCGGAAAATATGTTTTATTACCGTGCAGCCATAGATATGAAATAACTTGTAAAACAACAATAGAAAGACACATGAATCATAATGAAACCTACTCGGATGATCGAAATTGTTTTCTCCTGTTTTTTCCGCTCGATGAACCAATATTTTCCAGGACACCCTAAATGTAATACCCCACGGGAGCCCTTTTATCTCTTCCAACCATTTCCCTCTCTTCTCGCGGCTATTTGTGTTTTACGGTCTCCCGGCGAAAACCTGTCCGCCTCATTGCTGAAAGTACATTCCCGGCAGGGTTACACGAAGCCGCGGGAATACATCGTAACGGAATGGCCCCTTCGACACACGTGCGGTGAGTTCTGGTCCCTGGTTTACGACTACGAATGCGCGGCCGTGGTGGTGCTGTGCGTGCCGCCCCCGGGATCCACGAATTTCCCGAGCTTTTGGCCCGAAGGGAAACACTCGAAGAAGTACGGCCCCGTGTTCACGATCGATCACATCAGCCACAATCACTATACGAACATCAAAACCTGGGTGAGAAGCGTTGGACCCATTCTTCATTCTTCTATCCGCATTTCCATGAAACTCGTCATCGCCCTCCAAACGTCTATCGATTGGACGCTAATAAAATTTCATTCGAATATAAGATATCTATTCAGGATAGTGGGAAACTAATACGGAATATCTGTTTCTATCTGAGCAATCTCTTCCTTCTTTCATAACTCTTGTTTCGTTCTCATCTTTCATGTTCGATTGTTCAGTCGATTGATTTTAAGAAATCCATTATTAATCCTTTGATTCCCAAATTATTTCAGAATTACGAAGAAATATTTCTTTTTGCATTTCTGGAATATATTACATGACACATAAACGATGAAAAAAATTTGTTTTTAATTCTGAAAGTGTTTAGTACCATTTTTCATTCGTTGCCATTTGACACGTTTTTCTTTTCACTTCTATTACAGTTATGTATAATAATTGACATTGTAAAATTATTATACGGAATGGAACCCATTTTTCTTACCTTTGATCAGTGAACCCTCTTGAAATAGGTTGAAAGAAATTAGAGAAAGAATGTTCGACACTTGAATTCCAGCAAATGAAAGAAACAAAGGCCAATAATGTCTTACTTCACAGATGAACGTTTAAAAGCATATAGAAGTTAGTGTCATGCCAATTATAAAAAAAACAGAAGAAACTACTATATACTCATAGACATCTTTTATTTTCCAATTTAAAATATGTTACCATACGGCTACAATGGGAACGAAAGGGTTAACGGATGGGTATCCAAGTTCAGTTTTTTGTGGTCTGTCTTCTGAAGACCTAGACAGATCTTCTGTCAGAGGATCTGATTGTTGAGTATAATATAGGAGACTTTCCGTGTTCATAAGAGACGGATTTCACCTTGCAGATATTCAGGATAAACAAGAAGATTGTCTCGCTGACGGAGCTTATGGCCGGCGTGAAGGCACCGCCGAAGACGGTTCAACTATTTCAGTTGACTTGCTGGCCGATGGGTCACAAAGTTCCGACGTCGACCAACAGTCTAGTGGAGCTGATGAATATGGTCGAGAGATGGAGGCAACGAACGGATTACGGGCCGGTCGCTGTGGTTTCGCCGGACGGACGAAGTCGTTGCGGCGTTTATTGCGCCGCGAACGCTTGCATAGAACAGGTGATCCAGCACGGGGAAGTGGACATCTTTCAGGCCGTTAAGACTGTCCGTAGGCACAGGCCTCAACTGGTCGAGAACATGGTGCGTAATTAACAGCGAAACTTTGTTCCAGTTCATTTACCTAACTCCTTAAGCTCCTCTGTTATTATTATACAGGGTGTTTCGCAATTAAATTATCGAACTTGAAGTTTCGACCCAAAAGTACTATTTTTTTTAAAAAAAAAAAAAAAATACGAATCCCTTATTTTTGGCTGCTTAACAGACATACGAACTTTCATCAAAATCGGAGGGGGATACTTCCCTGCCTTCCCTTGTTAGAAATAAGAACGTTACACATATTCAAATAAAACGTCACAAGTATTCCCAACCCTCTCCCATTAGTCTCGAAAATACCATCAACGGAGAGTTCTCCACCTCTAACCGTCGCCCATTATCCGTCCCCAGACCGAGTACAAGTACTGCTACGACCTGGTCCTCCATTACGTGCTACACTACCTGAACAAGGACATGAACGAGAAGAAGTGAGAAAGCGAGTTGAGGGACGAGCTGTGGTTTATCGAGTTCGGTCGTGGGGCGGCGTTACCTTTGACGCCGGAGGAAGCGCCGGCGGACGGCGAGCCGATGGTGCCGTGCGCCCAGGGTCGCGTGATCGTGGAGACAGCTAGGCCAGCGCCGCCGTACTTCGCCACCTGCACCAGATACCGTCGTACGGTGACCACCACGTCGAACGAGATCGCGGCGTGTATACCGATCGCGACGTCGTCGAGCGTGTCGCAGGTGGACTACCAGTTGACGTCCACGGGCGGCAAGATCCTCAGGCCGATACCGCCGCACACTTTAGCGGTGAGGCCGGAAGATCTAGGCGTGACGCCCTGGTATCTCGAGGATTACCCGACCATAGATTGCTCGCGGGGGCCAGCGGGCGATCGTGGCTCGTATCCCTCTTACCTCTACGCAGACACTGAGACGAAGCCAGACATGGTCTCGACCAGGAATAGCAGCATGGACAGCGAGCTGCCACGTCCGTCGACCATCACCGCAGCGCCCAGAAAAGCGTACATGGACCTGCAGGACGCGATCGCACTCCTGGACGAGACCTGTCCGAATCCAGAGGTCAGTCCGTCCCTCACACCGAGAACACCGAGAACCCCGTTGACGCCGCATCCGAGGAACAAACGGGCACGCTCGAAGAGCAGCGACAATTCCTCCAACTACAGCAACGATCGTCTCAGCGATCGTTCGTTCGAGTCACGTCCGCCGGAGAAGGACAAGAAACGGCCGTTCCTGAAGAAGATCGGGATCTCGTTGACGGAGGACAAACCGTTCCTCGCGATGATAGCGCCCAAGATCATCGGGAAGCCTTATTTGGAGAAGATCGGGCCGAGCAGGGCGGTCGAGAGACCGTTCTTGGACAAGATTGGATCGTCTAAGACATTGGATAAGTTCACGTTTGAGACGCCCAGGAGACAGAAGAGGCCCGTGGTTAGGAGCGAAACGCTTCGGGACGATGTGAAGAAGGCGCCGATTGCGAAGAAGCTGGAGGAACAGAAGCTGCCGGAAGAGAAGCCGCAGAAGTCGATTGCTGTGGTTCAAGCGTTTGGGGTCGAACGGAGACGGTCTGGCAAGGGCCCGTTGATGAAGATGTACTCGTTCGAGACGGAGGATCTAGAGTCCACCGTTCAGATCAAGGATAGTAGAGACCCTTTGAGGGGCGCGTCTTTGGATGACGTGTTGGATTCTGGGCCGAGTTCTCTGCCTCTGGAGTCCACGAATGAAGGGACCCCGAAGACAGAGACGAAGGAACGAGCCGTGAACGGCGCCGCGTTGCTGAAATGTCGGGTGACTACCAGCGAGGAGATCATCTTCTCTAGCACGAGCTACGGATCCGACAAGGAGCCGAACAGCTGGGGCAATTCGCCGAAGATCAAGTGGCAGGTGAAAATAGACGGAACGACACCCAGGACACCTACTCGTCGTAAAATCGTGGACGCTTCTAAAGACGGCGACAGCGTCCCCAATTCGCCGACGAAACGACCGATTTCGAATGTCTCAGCGGATCATCCGGATGATTCGCGACCTAGCTCGTTCGAGAAGAACGTGTATTCTCCGATGAAGACCAGGAGGCAGACTTACGAAGATCTGTTGGAGAGGAATGGTAGGAGCGAGGAGAGGGATAAGAAGCCCAGCAAACAGGCGCACTTCGAGAGACGTGGGATCTCGTCGGACAATCTTCTGTCGAAGGATCGAACTGGTTCAAGTTGCCCATCGAGAGGTCAGATCGAGATCACCAGGGAAGCTACTTCAGAGGATTCTCTGGCGCACCGTATAGGTCAGGAATACAACAAGGAGACGTTCAAGCAGCTGCAGGATAAGTTCAAGTACCACGAAGTCCCCACAGAAACGTACGCGGATTTCAAACGACGGACTCGTGGAAGCGTTCAAAGTATAATTGTCAGACAGCAGGAAAGATGGAAGGTCGACACAGCGACGGAGACGCGCGAGGATGGCTCGAGGGATGCCAAGACGAAGTCAGACGAGACGAAGTCGGAAGTTTCGGCATCGCCAACGAGAAATGAGAAAGAATCGAACGAGGAAGGAAGGAACGAGAGTGTTCGTGGTACTATTAGGTCCGTGCTGAAGAAGCAGCAGGGAATCGATCATCCAAGCGATCATGAAGACAACAACGCGTCCGCAGTACGTCCAAAGCGACGGATCATTCACGAGCCTTCTCAGGAGACCATGGACCTCCTGACAGAATTACGGAAGGTGAAGAGTCAGCTGAAGACTCCGTCCTGGGAGAAGGAATTGGAGCTTGACAAGAAGCCGACTCGGCAGCCGAGACGTATCCTGTTGACTGACAAGGAATTCTGTCTGTCTGTCGAGCGGGAGAATAGTATTCGGCGTCCGTCGCGCGTGATGAATTCGTTGGAAAGAACTGACGAGGCTGTGGATGATAAAGACGAGGATCAAAAAATAGTTGAAGAGAAGAAGAACGGTGATGTGTCTCAGACAAAGATCCCTGGACCAGCTTTGTTCGAGAAGAAGTGTCTCTCGTTGGACTATGCTGACGAGGAGAAGCCTCAGAGGCCAGAGCCTAGAGCGATTTCCCTCTCGTCCACGAGGAACGTGCCGTCAGGGGCTGACGAAATGACTGACTACGCTGACCTGGCGTTCAACTGCGACTCGAAGAGCTGCTCCTCCGATGTGTTTAACAGCCCAACCGAGGAGACCAGTCAGCACGAACGTGGTAATGATCCGGAGAAGGGTGTTCCGAAGATAGTAGATCGGAATCACTGCGCGGAAGTCGACATCGCCATTCCCATTGATCAGAAGCTGAGTAGTCCGAAGGGTAGGGTTCAGATACAGGGGAGGACCAGCGATCTGTACGAGATCATATCCCCGAGATCAACGCCTTTTCGAGTGAAAAAACGGCTCGGGAAAATATCCGTCGAAGACACCGTCAAGCCGGAGAGTTTCACCCTAGGTTCTAAGGTCGACTGCCGATCAGCCGTTGTACAGAAACGGACCAAGTGCTTCCCTTTATAACGCATGCCGATCTGCCAGTGGGCGAAACACTCTCTGCGTCGACGCTCGTCTGGTTTTGCCCTGCGAGAAGTCTGAGCGCTGGGGCATCGCGGCGAGTCTGGTATTCACTCTTTTGGTGATGTGGTTTGAGGCGTTGGTAAATAACCTAAATGATCCACTTCTTTCTCATTTATTCAATATTTTTGTTAAATCGTTGAACGATATTTATTTACTTAATTGAAGAAGCATTTTAGCTTTGTTCGAAGTTTTTAAGTGTGTTTATTGAATTATTATTATAAATAATCTCAGTGAAGAGATGAAATAATTGGAGATTTTTGTCGAGATTATAATTAGTTAGATGTTTTTCATCAAACGTGTTGTTGCATAATTATTGTTTATGTGTAATAACTACAGAACTATATATATATTTGTTAATTTTAATATCGTAATATTCGAAGCATCTTATTATTCTTAGAATTTTCAAAAGAGATTGGAAGAATGCGATTATATAAGTATTTGCATGTAAAGGGTTTAGCACGGCCTAATTCGCTGACGCGCCTTTTTCTCCGGCCTCAACTTCTATCAGGGCAAAAATGGTAATTAGGATTTCGCAGTTTGCTCTTGGGGATAATCGTACACAATCCCTAAATAGAACCGACATTCGAGTTCCCGTTTTTCAGCGTGACTTTTGCACACTCGTGTCACTTTCATTTTCATCATTCAGTGTCCAACACGATAGTAATGGTAACCATTACCATTCTACAATTACCTTTAATTTCTCTTGCATTAACCGACGAACAATCAGTGAATTCAATCTACTTTATACGTTTTTCAAGATATAGAACGATATACAATGAGAATCTAATACTATTTAAAAGAAACATCAAGTTAATATACACGGTGTTCAAGTGAAACTTTTCACGCAAACTTAGAAGCCGGAACTGCTTCTTCAAGAATGGTCATTACTGCGTTCCCCTAAAAAAATGGAAATAAGAAGCTTTTTCGATCGAACTCTGGATCGATGTCAGCTTGCAGGTTATATTCTAAAAACAAAACGTATCTCGACCACTTTTTAACCGACGTGTTTCGCGATAGAAAACGGCCCGATTGAAGTTCGATGGCCAATTCGAACGAAGTTCCAGCGGGTCGTTGACGATCCACTCGAACAGTTAACATCCATCAAACGGACGTGACTCCTCTCTGTCGAGCAGTGCCTTGTTCGTGGATATATTTATTTAAACGAAGTAAAACGAAGAGAAAACGAGAAACAAAGAGAAGAGATAAACAAGTCCTATCGAAGATAATATTAAAAAAAAAAAAGAGAGAGGGAGAAAAGAAAATAATAAAATTCCGACTGCCGGCCGGATGTTTTGAATGGGTCCACGGAGTTGCGCTTTCGACGAATACGACTGACGACGATCTGGCCTTCGCAGCCTGTTTCGTAATGTTTCCAACCATCGAGACGATCCTTTCCTCCAATCGCGGACCAGAGAACACGCATTTTTACTCTTCTACGGTGCGCCAATCCGTTAGATCGACCTCCTCAGACGCCATTTTCCTTATCGTTCCCTGGCCATTTTCGACGATCGAGTGGATGATCGAAGATTTCCAAAGATTCTTCGTTTCTTGTTATCATCGAAGCTTTCGACTGTAATTCGTGATCTGTTGGAGAAATTGTGTGGCTAACCTTGGATGATTTCTCTAAAAGACACAAGTTACACTCTGAGAGCTTGAACGGTAACGAATGATCGAAGATTTTCATCGTTCTCGTGTTTCCAATTTCATATAGGAACGTGTACGACATCCTTGAACATTTTTTCCTCTGATTCGATGACGTCTACCCACCGCTGCGACGAGGAACGGATTAAAGAGATGATCGTGAAAGATAATTAAGCTCACGAGAGTGCAACTCCCACGCTCGCCAAGCCTATTCCCTGTTCGGCGAAGCGTGTGACGTTTTAACGACACAGTATATATTATACATAGGTATATACATATTAAAGATGAAAGATTGTTACGTTCCTCTTATAATTTTTTTAGAGGGTAGGATAAGATCGACGGCGCAGTTCATGGAATAATACGGAAAGTAAAGGTTAATATAGGTGTACGGGGTGATGGCGGGAAATGGGTCAATGAGCGGATCTCTTCTTAGCGAAGATAAAAGAAATTGGATGAAGATGATCCGTTTTCTTTTCAGTAGTATGTATCGTTTTGGGGACTGGATATTTAGAAAGATTATTGTATAAAGGGATTAGTTGTTATATGGAAAGGTTTGTTTAATTATTCTCTATATAAAAGTAATACGATTAATACTTTATAGGGTGGATGCACCAGTAAATGAACGCGTACCAGTGAATGAACATTGTATATAAAAACGAGTACAGCAAGTTATTAAAATAAACAACTCATTAAATATTAATTTTTTTCGATTCCTTGTTTCATATTCAAACAATGTCCGCGTTACTGGTTATGAATGTTTAATCATTTAATACATGGTTCCATTTTTTAAAATTGAAATCTACATGTCATGAAAAGGTACAGATATTAAAAAATCTAATTTTCGTGTATGAAATATCTATTAATACCACTAATATATAAAATTCGATATAATGACACATTCATTGGTGCGTTTACCCTATTTGCATTATAATCGTGAGAAGATAGCTGTATAAATTTATACAACATATTTCCTTGCTAATGTTCATTTTACATGTACTTTGTAAAAAAAATTAAGGTTTGATCCATTTCCCGCGATCACTCTGTATATAATATACGTACAGAGGGTCTCTGACAGGTTGTCGGTTACTTTTTAACTTTCACCGATACGTCTGAAAATATGATGAGGATGTTATGTGTACACGGTGAGCTATTTTAAATATTTTTAATATCTTATCATTCAATTATAATTGACTTAATATATAATCTTAAGTGGCCTTGTATGACTTTGCTAAAAACGTTGTACACGCCAACTTCAAAAGTTCTCAACGCAAGAACAGACCGTTGTATTTGATAGTTGTAAAATATTTTTTAAACACACATTTATATAATATGTTCATCAATTTTTAATAACGGGCATGAATTCGTAAGGTTCGCGGTAGAGAACTTGTCGGACACCCGGTAGATAGATATAAATGCATATACGAGGAAAAAAAGTATATATACATAACGTCGTTACTCCGATGGAATATTTGTACGTATTCTATGACTATTAGAGACTAAAGCGAGTTGGTATATAAGATATGATATATTATATATTATGTATATTTATACATACATTACATACGCGTATACTCGGCGACAAGTATGCAGGGCGTGTGTGTATTTAATACCTGTAAACGGTATACCGTACGGATCCTATAGTTGATGAAATGTGCCAAACAAAGATACGGATTTATTGTATGTTATCGAGTTACGTTTGTTGTAAGGTGTACCCGGCTGTCCAAGGAGCACGAAGCCTCATATCTGCTGCGTACTTGTTGGACACTCTTTAGGAGCGTACTTATATAGAGAGGGTCTCTGAAAAGGTGTATGACATCGCGTGTTGAGGATGTTGATAGTGTGTTAAGCATAGAAAAAACGTCCATGAACAAAGCTTTCAACAAGGTGACGTGTCGTTCTTTCTAACTGATATACTGGGTGGTCTGTAAATCATGATCACTTCAGATATTTTTGGTGTTTTTAACCATGAGACAATATCCAGAGGAATACTTTCTTCTAAAGACTTCAAACTTCTAAACAAAAGAACATTTTCTTTCCATCAAATATATAATATATACAAGGTGCTCCATAATTTGTCACGATTGCACAGGTCTGTAACTGAGTTAAATGAAACCTGAAATATCGCAAAGATAATATACTACCATTTTAATTATAGCTGAATTTTATGGGACACCCTATGCATTGTAATTCTCTGTTATATCTAGTCAGAAAATTTGATGTCCCCGTAGCATCAGATTTTTTTCAAGACCAAATTCCTCCCTGGTATTTGTTCCATAAGTAAAACCGACATGGATATACAGGGTGTTCGTGATATACAGGCTACTCGCTGTAAAATGTAAACCGACAACTGTATAGCGCGTAAGTGTGTGTGTGTGCGTGTGTGTAGATTCTAAGTAAAACAATACGAAATCTCGGCCACAATAGGAATAATCGTATCGAGCTCAACCGCATCCTGACTCGAAGGTGTCATAGCCGTTTCGAGACACCTTGTATACAGGCGTGCAAAGTTTTAACGCGCGCGTCGGTGTTTCAATGTGCGTGTTGCACGCGCACGCGACTTGTCCGTTGCACAGGTGAGAATATGTGTGCAGATTATGTGTATACATTCGTATATATGAATAGATAATATTTATGTGTAATTCTACGCGTACACTGGCCGGCTACAGTTCGAGGAGAAAAGATCACGATACACCATCGGTATTTGTCATTCTTTCGACAAAACATTTACCTTATAACATTTCTACATTATTAAAAATTGTTGAAATCTCTCTCTTGCCACTGTACACTCCTTTATATTATTTATAATTTTCCATATACATTATCTTCCAGTAGGTTGTAGTGACATTGTTTCCAATGTCTGTACAGTAAATCCTCGATGAGTGTACGAAGGCTCCTCGGCACTGAACATTAAATATTTCATAAACTAATGGCGGCTGAAACAAATATCATTGGCTTCCGAGTTCCAAGCTCTATGACTGTATGAAACATCATTAAAAAGTTAGCGTTACACCACAGATAGCACATGTCGCCTTGAAGAAGCTCATTTTACGGCTATTTTAGGTCTAAGGCGTCTTTAAGCCGTCTTCAAGGCATCAATAGGCGTCATGTGCTATCTGGGACCTCTCTTTATCAGTAAAAAGGAGCCTTCGAACACTCATTGAGAATTTACTGTATTTAGATGAAATTTATACAGTACTGAATTATCATTTTGTTTAAACAATATATTTTGTAGTAGTCTAGATAAGAAGGATAAATACTTGATGGTCAAGATCTTTCGTGTATGGCGTTCTCGGCCGGTAGAGTGTAATAAAAAATATGGTGAGGCAGGGTTCGCGTTCTAATCCGCAGGCAAATCGTCCAGACTCGTTCTTAACCTCAAAAGGCGAGCAGGTTAGAAGATGAGTCTCGTACCGCGGCGGCCATCCGTCCATCTTGTCGGGCCGCCGAACGTAAAAGTCGGTCGAGTAATGTCGCGCGTCAGATAGGCGGAGGGGCACTCCATTATATTGTTCGAACTTGTTCAAGCACGGATCGGATCGTAGATCGAAGATTATGCGCGGATACGTTCCTCATCCTCGGGGATTTTAAAAACATTACGTTTCTTTCTCGCGGGCGAGATTTTTAGTGGCCGAGAATGTAAGGTCCACCGACGTCCATTCGTTACGGTCGCGCACCGATATTTTAAAGAGTTTTATTCGAAAGAGTTTATGATCCCTATTAGAAAGTGTTATATAACTGTACAATTTTCTGTCCGAAGACGAATTTTAAAGGTTTCGTAATACGAATGTTTTACTGAGTTCCGTTCTGATTTAAATGGGAATCTTTTCGTCCAGCTGTTTGAATCGCGCGCCAATTTCGCGAGCATTCGTTGCTTACGATTCCGAAAACGGCAGAAGAGGAAAAGAATGTTTATCATTATATCGTGAAAGTTGAATTTCGTACGAAAACAGAAAAGTGGAATTGTCATTGTCGAATAATAATTTGTAGTAGGAATTGCCGATGTTTCGAGAAAACGATACAATGAAGCGATGCAAAACGAATTTCTAAAAGTAAACGACGGCACGAAGCGCGTATTCGTTTTCGTGGTGGTTCTCGTATATGTCCAGATTTACATCTGATACTACCCCACGCCCGGGAAATCACGAAATTCCGCGAAACGTTGGAAACGAGTTCTAAATGCTGTCCATTTAAACGAGCTGAACTTACGACGAGCGAATGAGCAACGTTTTTGTAAATTGTGTGATAAGTGATTCAAATAAACAAAAAACCCGATGTGGTACATTTTGTGTAATATTGGTACGTTGTTGTAAATAATAAATAGATCGTATGTTGTACCGTGATTGTCCATTTACCCTTCCTAACAGATACGTTTTATGGAAATACGGAACTTCGATTTGACGATTCCTTTTAATGACACAATTGATTGAGCTTTAATATGAACTTTTAATTTTAGATTCAATTCTTGTCCATTATTTAGAATTCCAATAAACAAACGCCAGTTAATATAAGCTTTATTTGATCGAATCGGCTTAAACATATCTGGATATTCATGTAACTACATACCGCTTACGTCTTTTAACCCTGGGCTAAAATAGTATCTGCAGAAACTGCCATTTTTGCTGCGATTATTATGCAGTGTGTTCACGCAACAACGGATACAAGCGGTATCTACTAGTTATTACTTCGGTATCACTAGTTCTTACTTTAATATCACTAGTTCTGGCTTGAGTATCATTAGTCCTTATTTCAGTATCACTAGTTCTTACTTGGGTGTTATTAGTTTCTACTTTGTTATCACTAGTCTTACTTCGTTATCACTAGTCTTACTTTGTTATCACTACTTTGTACCTTGTTATCACTAATTTTTACTTTTTATTGCTAGTTTTTAATTTTTTATCAGTAGTGTTTAATTTTTTATCACCAGTTGTCACTGGGTTTTACTTTTTATCACTAGTTTTTGTGATAAAAAGTAACGATAAAAAATTAGTGATAAAGAGTAAAAATTAGTGATAACAAGGTACATAGTAGTGATAACAAAGTTTCCGACAATTTCCTTTGCGAGAATGCCTTACCGTAATGAGCCATCTCGTGGCCACGAAATTCCGGGAATTGGATGATGTCATGGCGTGCGAGCGAGAAGCGGTAGAGCGAGCCGCGGTATCGGTGCTCTCCGTCGGTGTTGACGCGTGCCGAAGAATTTCGGCGGTCTATGGGAGGAGGTGTGCGAGCGAGAGAGTACGGTAGAGCGTGCCGCCATATCGGTGCTCTCCGTCGGTCCAACGCGATAGTGACGTTGCGTACCTGGCCGTACCATCTGGTGTTTGGGTCGTTCAAGGAGGAAGGTCGTTCAAGCCGGCAAAAACAATTCAACACGAACAAACCTGCGTACGCCCAATACATAACAGCGTTAGCAGCCGTTAGCTTCCTCACTTTCTCGTGAACCGTCGCGAAGGGTGGTCGCGCGTCTCATACTCGTCCTTTCTCTTGTTACTAACCCATTGTGTGTTTCAGGCATTGGACAACCGGGTAAGTTGTTTGCTGGGCATATTATTAATCTATTTACTGTGCATATTGTTGTGTCCCCTCTCTTGTTACTAATCCCTTGTATGTTACAGATGTTCGAGAACCATTGGCTTCGATATTTATCTTCTTATGTACTGTGATTCATTTACTGTGATTTATTTACTGTGATTTCTATACTGTAATTTATTTACAGTGCATATTATTAATTTATTTATTGTGCATATTGTTGTGTCCCCTCTCTTGTTACTAATCCCTTGTATGTTACAGATGTTCGAGAACCATTGACTTCGATATTTATTTTCTTATGTATTCTATGTGTATTGTATAATGAAAATTATTTTTCCAATCAGTTATTCCATCGAAAGAAGACATCGATCAACGTCTACATCTTCAAAGCGTGC